GCTTCTGCTTTGAATTCCTCTCTTCCCAGAATGGTGTTTCCAGAGGAGCTTTTCCCACAGCCAGTCTTACCTATCAGGACAATCCTGAGACTGTCGGGGATTGGCTGCTCATGAACACCTAAAGGGAAAAACAAAGAGCTTCATTTTTTCGCCATGAGGAAAAAAACATTACAATAAAAGTTCTAAAGTCAGGGGAATGTAGACATTGAGTGTAATATATTAAGTATCTAAGTTTGATAATAAAGTTCAAGAATCAACATTATATATATAAAAAGATTAGTTTATTAACTAGGAAGTAAAAGTTTTGATGCTTTGATGATGATGTGTTTGTTGGGATCTGGAGCTGTACCACCTTCCTCCAGCAGAGTGCGCCGTGGGTACTCCAGAGCTGGAACCTTCCAGCACACCTGAGGCGCATCATCTCATCAGAGACCTGCCTATATAACCTGCTTCCAGACCTTGCTTCGACGCCGCAGTGTTGACCTAGTTTGGTTAGCGACCTGAGCCTTGAACCTGAGAATCTTAGCTATCTCATTGATGAGATCTGATTCTAATTCTTCCTTGTTTTTTGCCTCACAGGAAACCTGTCTCTACCTGAGGCTCTGGATGAGCTTAACCTGCCGTGATTGCCCTCGTGAGCCAAACCAGATAATTCCTCTGTGGATTCCCCAGCAGCTCTTGGCTAAGAGCTGGAAACTCAGATCAAGGTCTGCCCTCAAAGTCAGAAGCAAGACGCTGAAGCAACTCTTGGACTCTGCTGAACTAACAGTCTCTGGACCCATCAGTGCCCTCTCTCTCAAAGAGAAAACCGGACTCCTTCAAGGTATTCATCTGAATATTCAAAGACTCATAACTCATCAGTTCGTTTGCTAATCAAACTATCATCCCTGCAGTCTCCAGTGAACCAGCCCCTGACCAGTTCAGTGCCTGTTCATTATCCTTGTGTTTGTTCTTCAATAAACTCTGTTAAACTTTTATCCAGCCTCCGTGTATGTTCTGCATTTTGGGCTAGCTCTGAGAACCCATCATGACAGTGTTGGGCTGAGCCATGAATACAGAATAAGGACTGAACTACACAAATTGAATAAAAGAGCATGGATGAGTGAAAGACTGCATCATTGTAGAAAACCCTTAATCTACAGCTTCTTTTGCACTAAAATTAGTGCATCACCACAGGTTTGTCAAACATGGCAAGACCCAATTGGTATTTGGCTCCCTTCCCATTGGCAAAAAAGCTGGGTCAGACCCGCGCTGACAAGTTAAGTGGCCTCTGTCCTCCCACTGCTGTGTGTCTGGTGATGCCATCAAAATGGGTTAGCGTTGATGATGTCACCAGCGTGACAGAAATCAGGAAAGGAAACAATGGATAGTAAGGAAGCCAGGGTGTAGTAAGTGTTCTTTGTTGTTTGGCTCTTTTATCCATTCAAATCAATTTCACCAGTGCTGCGCCATGTTTTTCCAATCCAATCCACTTTATTTATATAGCACAATTTCAATAAACACAAGGTTTCCAAAGTGCTGCACAAAAAAATAAAATAAATAAAAGTAAATAAAATAAAATAAAAGCACTGCCTGCACAGGTTTTTGAATGTAAGCACAGTTTCTTCTGCTTGTTAGATCAGACTGGCGCAATGTTTCGACGTCTGTACGTTACGCTCAGGGGCATTACGTAAATTAGTGGGTCAGCCCAAGTCTGATGTTCCTACTATGTCATGGTATGCTTGGCCCTTGAAGAATGGACTACCTGGGTTGTGGTTGCATGGCAGCCATGGTTGTAAGAGGACCACATGGATATGTGGGCCTGGAATGGCTATGGCTGACTGGGAGTGGGGTGGGCTCTTTGTCAGGTTGGCTAAATTAAAGTTACTACTGGGCAACATTTTTGTCTGTTCTCTAAAGTATTATACACACAAATGTACATTCATCTGCCAAATGGATGAAGCTTAGCACAAACAGTGTCAATACCAGTACCACAATCTCAAACCCAGCAGCCAGAGATGGAGGATGGGGTATCAACAAGTCATCTCCATGTTGTGTATTTGTTCTGCCAAGCCGCTAAAGTAGGTGAGTCCAATCTCCACACTTTAACTCACTGTGCAGACTGGACATACCCAGTTCAGCTGCAGAACAAATGCATTGAAATGAGTTGACATCAGCAGATCTACAACAGAATTATTGAAGGAAAGTTTCAAATGTGATGACCAAAGTAGGCAAAGACATCAAATTGACAAAAATGCTGGATGGGATCTTCAGAGAGTTGTTCGGAAACGAATGCCTGGACAAATCAATGAACTGAAGCAATTGGAAGAAGGAATGGATCAAAACTCCTGAACAGCAGTTTATGATCCAATCAAGTCAGACAGAACCACAGCATAGAGGTTGTGGACATACTGTTAGAGAAAGGTTTTGTCTAGATGATGTCAAGAACAAGAAACGAGAACCTCCAAGAAAGTACTGCAGGAATGAAAGGTATCATTTTATTCTCACAGCTTTCTCTTGGAGTATGTAGCTCCCTTTCCTGTTGTTGGAGTTTCTGAAAACTGCTAAAGAAATTAGCAGTGGTTAAACTTTGCCCCTTTGTTTCTTACTTTTTCTAAAGCTTCACCTTGCTTAAAAATACTTTAAAATCTGAGTAGTTTTCTTTTTGCTTGTTTTTTTTTTTTTTTTGAAGTTAGAATTAACTGTAGATCTCACTGAAGACTGAATTAACTGGATCAATATCTGATATGTAACTTAAAAACAATAGAAACAGGGTGTACTTTTTTCTCCATCTCAGTACCACTTACTAGGAGCGACGTTCTTGCACTTGAGGTCCTGAAGTGCTTTCTTCAGGTGCTCAATGTTTTTCTCTTTTTCTGAGACTTTTTCTGCTTGAGCGTTGGCATGTGTTTTGGTTGTGTAGGAGCGTTGGTTGTCCATATATGTTCTGCTTTTTTCTACGACACTCAATAGTTCTGGGATCTGCTGCTGGTCCTTAATGTTCAGAACAAAATATCTTCCTCCACAGCTCTGACAGAGTTCTGGGGCACTTTTACTTTCTCTGATGAAGTCAATGATGGCTGGAGCTGTAGGATCTGACTCCACAGTGAACAGGATCATGGTGAAATCATTGACTCTAGAGCCGAATGTGTCCTGGATGGTCTGTAACTCGCCCTTGTCTTCATCAGTGAGTGGACCCACAGGTAGGACCAAGATGAAGGCATGGACACCCTCAGGATCAAAGAGAGAGATACACTTAAAGGATTCCTGCATCACCTCCTCATGAGATTTTCCATACAGGGAAGGCATCTCCAGAACAGAAACCCAACACCCAAACAGATCCTCCTGATTCATGATGATGTCTGATGGGTTAGAGGCCAAATTAAGCTCTTTCTGACCTAGAATGGCCTTGGCTACTGAAGCTTTCTCTGCTACTCTGCTCCCTAACAGAACCAGGTTTAATACGGGCTTATTAAATACAGCTTCTGGTTCCATGTTGTCTTCAGTGGTGGTGAGGTAGGCTCCCTTGTTTTTATGCACTGTTGCTTTAACCTTCTTCATGATCATTTTCTGGTCATTTTCATACATGTTGTACAGTCGGTCATCACAGTCTCTAATGAGCTGTTTGACTGCCTGAGATTCAATCAGGTCATGGGTCTTAACGACCAACGAGTGCCTCAGAGGTTCTGGTCCCAACAAACTGAGGATGGATGTGAGGGTTTGCCGCTTGCTTTGTGTGAATGATGAAGGTTTCACTAACAGCAGAAGAACATTTGGTCCAGGCTCACAGATGCTCACACATTTCCTCATTTCTGCTTTGATTGTTTTCTTAGACATACTAAAGAAGTTTGGGGTTTTAACTACAGTGAGTGAATATCCTTTCCACTCCCCATTAATGACTGCACACTTATGGGAAGCAGAGTTTCTCTGGAAATGATCCCCACTGCCACCAATGATGAAGTTCCCAAGTTTTGTCTTGTTCTCTTCACTCTTTCCAAACAGAACTATTCTGAAGGCAGAACCTGAAACACAACAATGAAAAGACAAAGAAATAATTATCTTAAAATCACATGAATAAAACTGCCTAAGCTACCATATCCAATCAGTTAATCAATAACTTATGATACATTAAGGGACTATCATAAGTAATATAATTCACTACCCATTTTTCAGCAAGCCTGGTTTCGCTGTGGATTTGGTAACAGAGCTTTCTTAATACCAATCCTTTAAAGCTACACAACTGTACGCCCTGACGCCTGAGTCTTTTTTTACAAGCAGCCTTTCGTTGGACCAGAAGAAGAAAACCCTTTCATCCCCGAGACCAGTGTCCTTTCTAAATTTTAAGGAACAATTTTAGGATCTCTTCTAATTTTATACAAAAAAACAAATAAGTGCACTTTATGAATCTATCAAATTCGTTTCTGACTCTGTCCTAAATAAAGTAAATTTAATATCACCAGCAGGTGTTGATAAATCTATCTGTGTAGTAATTAATGTTTGATTTTTGAGCTCTGATTGTCCTGAACAGACATCAGCTGGCTAGGATTAGGAATTTTCACAAGAACTGTATGAACACATTCAGTTGCTGATATTAGAGTTGTTGGTAATCTCCAGTGGTTAATAATCTGCTTTTTGTATTTAGCAATCTCCATGCACCCCAATTATGTACAAATATGCAGAGTAAAGCAAGAGGAAGAATTACAAATATTATTAATATAACATTATTATTTAAGAGTATTGTTAGGTAAAAAGCTGTAGTGACGCAAACTGACTATGGATTGGTATTAACTTCAATACTTTTGTGGTTACTGACAGTATTAGATAAGTTCTATGAAGTACTTATTGACTTAAAATAAACGGTACTTTAATGCATCATTATGAAACAGTGGAAGTGAAGAAGTGGAAGATCTTTTCATGTCAGACATGAATGCACATTGTACACGAAGGCATATAATGACATGCCTGCAACAGTAGGCCATTGCAACAGTACACAAACCAAATATGGCTGAAGGTTTCATCTCCACAATCGCTCTAGTTTTTAAAAAGCGCTACAGATTAGACATGCTGCTATATTTGTGACCTAAAGTGCAAGGCAAGTTGTGGGAATGTTTCTAATCTGAGGAAGCACAAGATGTCTTAAAGCTAAAGTATGTGCACAGTTTGCAACACCTGCATTTAGCCGCATTAGGACACCTGCATCCATTAGCAATCTGCTTCATGGAAGGAAGCAGAAGGTTTAAGAGGACTTTAGCAGGGAAAATAGGCACCGTCGGGCATCAGTACCATAGTGGTTTAAATATATACAATACCATCCCTAAATCTGACAGAAATTGACATAATTTTATTTGATGTCTGCTCTGGGGCTCATGACATGAAACCATCAGGATAAAAATAACCAAAGAAACTGAGAACAAAATGGTCAAATTTGTGGTGATTAAGATTAACCAGAGAATTATATTTTAGTTGACGTCATCAACCATAAAAACATGTAGTGTAAGGTTTTGACCTTATCTTTGGGATATTGTGTGTGCTTTAGAAAGCCCAGTGTGTTGAACTGAGAGGGGGACCGAGTACATGTAATTTTCATCTAGGGTCAGGAGGGCAGAAGTCTCAGCAGAAACTCCCAGACTTCTCTCTTAACAGACACCTCCTCCAGCTCTACTGAGGGGAGCATAAGGCGCTTCTAGACCAGCTGAGAGACCTTGTCCCTCCAGTATGTCCTGGGTCGTTCCCTGGGCCTCCTTCTGGTGGGATATGCCTGGAACACCTCACAAAGGAGGCCTCCAGGGGGCATCCAAAAATGATGACTGAGCCTCATCAGCTGACTCTTTTCAATGTGACAGACAAGTGGACTTTTGGTTCGAATTTGTGATTAATTTAAGTATGAGCCACCTTTTCTGATTCAGAACCACCTAAGGCAGGGGTAATATATTTAAAATCAGCAGGTTCCAAATAAAGAAAATAAAAAAAACAGTAATTTTAATTTTTTATTATAATTTGATACTTTGAAAAGAACTTAACACTGAAATAAAATGAGGTGTTTATGCATCCATGTTATACATTGACCGTTTTAATAAAAAAATATAAAATAAAAAAAAAAGAATAGAACATTTTCCATTTTAAAATCTAAAGAGTTTTTTTAAATAGAGAACAACAATCATTCAGTTTGGTTTATAGACAATTTCCTGATTCACATATTTTATAACACACTTGAATTGACCATTTCTTTCTTTTTTACGGCCTTATGAGAGCAGTGGGCTTTAGGCTGCCCTGCAAGGCTTTAAACCTGGGTTTGAAGGGAGAGAAAGCCATTCTCAAGCACATATCAAGGTGCTCATCCTTGCTTCACAGCAGAATCCTGCTTCACAGCAGCAGGTTGAGCCAAACATCCTCTAAATGTGCAGGGTCAACTTTGAGCACGCCATTTCACTTTTCTTTCACCAGTTTCCAGCAGTTCTTCCAGCAGTCCACACTTTCTCTGCTCTCTTTTTCTCATCATCTTTCCCATCGCCCGACTAGCCACAGGTTTGCCTGCTGTGTCTAAAAGTAGCAGCAGCAGCAACCCAGACTGAAAGCAGCTCATTGGCTAATTTGGATTGTGTGCAGCCTGGTGCCGGACGCTCTGGAGCGTCCGCTAATCTGTGACCTCTGACCTAAGGGCTTGGCTACTGCAATTAATTATTATTGTACTAAATTATAAGATGTGGTTAAAAGGAACCTTATATTTCAATCAAAACTATTATATTTTCTATAAAAACATCTGAAATTAAGCTAGTTTCATGTAAGCAGAGCCAAAGCCAAAAATACTCACCAGCAGCCTGGGGATAAGATGATGTAGGCTCCTGGAATTTGTCACAGATGACATGTTGTCCTTCATTCTCTCTCAGAGTTTTCTCCAAAAAAACCAGGAGCTCTGACAGTTCAGTAGACCTCTTCCACAGAAACTCACCTCTGCACTCCTTCACCATGGCATTTAAGGGTGTCAGACTGATGTATTTATCTCCAGGAACATCTTTAGGTGTTATTAGAACCAGTGAGTGGTCAAAGGATCGATCACTGACATATTCAAGGATTCTGCAGAGCCTGTCTTTTTGTTCCTCCACAAAGTGTTCAGGTTGTAGAACAAGCAGAAACAAATTAGGGCCAGGGGCAGAACGCCTCATGAAGTCTTCTATGTGTTCTATAAGTTTGTACCGGGAGATGTTGACCAGTAGATTCGGGGTGTTTATGACGACCAGGTCTTTCCCCATCAACCTTCCTCTGAAACTCTGGCATGATTTTGGTTCTGCCTCCGTGTCAAACCTGCTTTGTCCCAGAAGAAAGTTTCCAAGCAAACTTCTGGAAGACCAACTGTTCCCCATCAGAACCAACCTCAGCTGAGTCACTGAAATACAAAGAAAGAAAGAAATGTCCATTTGCGTCTTTGAGATATAGTGGTTAACATTTCAGAGACTTTCTGTAGATGTTTACACTAATCACTGACACCAATTTTTCAACTTCATCAATTGGCCAGCGCCAAACACTGGCCATGTGATGTTGGTGCACCACAGACTGGTCTGGTGAAACATCAGAGGAGCCCCTCATTAAAGGTGTTCCAGGTTTTTGATAAGCAGTTAACTCTAAATCTCTGTCTAAAAAATAAATGTAAAGTGGGTGAAACATCCAACATGGCTATCAGTGTCAGTGGTGGGACGTTAACAGAATACCGTTACAGATTAAAGGCTGATGGGTTCAATGGTGATATATATAAATATATTGTATATATATATTGTATATGTTGTATATGTTGTTATATTGTATATGTTTGTTAAATATGTGCTCGGAGTGCTCCAAATTTCCTCCCAGAAAAGGATGTCCTCATATCATGACAATAATTCATTACTAAACTATCCTTTAGAGAAAATAAATGTGTGACGATAACTATTTAATGGTTTGACAACCTGTAAGGGTCATGCTCTCAACTATTCAGCACTGCAGATTAAAAACCAACTCTCCCATGCAAATGAATCCTCTGCAGAATGGGCAGCAATGCATTTAAAACTGCAGGGCAATGTAGACATGGCACATCAGAATGACTTACAGTTGACCTGCAGATCTTTGATTTTTCTTTGGAACGCGCCAGGTACATCATAAATAACGGAGGGAGAGAAAACAGAAAGGTACAATTTTCTGTTAGGTAGTTTAAATGCATTACAGGTGTGTATGTGTCAAGGACATTGGACTCTGCAAATCAGAAGCAGAGGTGGAGTAGGACACCTTCTAGCTAAGCTAACTTTAATTCTTTACTGAAAGAAATAACAGAGATCAATGGAAGAGGGTGATCTGGCCAGATGATTCAAGCTCACGGGGATGGCTGTGTTTGGAGGCAGTGTGATGGTATCAGTAACATTCTGCTGTCCATGTGCATAGTACTTTCATCATCTACTTTAACACCTTTTCATAGAGGCAGTGTGTCCTGATTAATCTGACCTCCTCCTGGATCATAGAGCTCCTGCTAAAAGGTAGAAAGGGTTCAATAACAGTATGAGAAACACAGTAACCAGTTTAAATTGCTGCTTTCGCCTCAGACCTCCATCTATTTCATGTGCTGGACCAATAAGTCAATCTATGGAGCCATTGCCTCCCAACTTCCAATATTTAAAGGTACTGTGGTATACACTCTTGGCATTAGACACCACAGCAGACATTCCAGGGTACTTTATATGG